CCCCTCCAGCCACAGTCTCACCGTGAGGCCCCACACTGATTGGTAGGGCTTGTTAGTCCTCACCTATATTGACAGAGTTTTTCTTGTTGTTGAAGTCCAGTCAGTTACAGTGTGTCTGTCTCTGGTGTACAGCACAGTATCCCAGTCATGCACATACATGCATATATTTGTTTTCATATTATTTTTCCATGAAAGGTTGTTACAAGATATTGAACATAGTTCCCTGTGCTATACAAAAGTAAGTTTTTTCCTTTTTCAGTTTTATTAGGTAGAGTTATTGTAGTTTGACTGCACATACACAATATATTACATGTAAATGCAGATATACAATATACTGCACTTATTTTTAGTTTACATATATATAGTACTGACAGGAATTATTTCAAAATCTATGTTTATATATAGTAGCTAACATTTGTAAATCTCAAACTCCCAAATGTATCCCCTCCCACTCCCTTTTCCTGGTAACCATGAGATTGTTTACTAAGTCTGCGAGTCTGTTTCTATTTGATAGATGAGTTCATAGTGTCCCTTCTTTTTCTTTTTTTTTAGATACCGGATATAAGTGATATCATATGGTATTTTTCTTTCTCTTCCTGCTGACTTCAGTTAGGATGACAATCTCCAGGTCTATCCATGTTGCTGCAAATGGCATTATTTTATTCTTTTTATGGCAGAGTAATATTCCCGTGTATAAATATACCACTGCTTCTTTGTCCAGTCATCTGTTGATGGACATTTAGATGCTTCCATATCTAATGTACTATCAATAGCCAATATGGAAAAAAGTATGGATTCCTTAAAAAGACTAAAGTGATAGCATATGATCCAGCAATCCCACTCCTGGGCATATATCCAGAGAAAACTCTAATTCAAAACATACATGCACCCACTGCTGATAAGAATACTATCTACAACAGCCAAGAGATGGATAACTTAAAAAAAATTCTTTTTCTTCTACACTCAGAACAAGCCTAACACCTAAGGACATCTGTTTTTATTTGAAACTTAACATGTGCAAAAGAAGTTGACATGATAACACAACTTATTACATTATCCTTGATGATGATTGGAAAATGAATTTCACTTTGCAGCTCATTCCTGTCAGAATAGTGATGTTGCTGCTCGGTACTCCTCTAAGCCACGGGTTTCAAAGTCAGCTTTCTCAAGCAGTTATGGATTATTTTGGGGTGATATTGTCCACATGGCAATCAGAGTGCTCGTTGCATCAAGAACACATCATTTTAAAAGTCTCAATGTTACCCAGTTTAAAAATGAGCAAAATATTTAATCAGAATCTTCATAAAAGATATATACTCTACAGCAAGAATCAATGAAATATGTCCCATGAGCCAAATCCATCCAGACACCTACTTCTGTAAATAAAATTTTATTGGAACATAGCAATTCCCATGTTTAAAATGTATTATCAGTGGCTTCTTTCATGCTGCAAATGGCAAAGTCTAGTAGTCGCAACACAGACTGACTGGCCTGCAAAGCCAAAAGTATTTGCTATTCTACACATTATGGTTAAAGTTTGCAAAACCCTTTTCTACATCATTAGCCATCAGGGAAATTCAAATTACTACCACATGAGATCACTATAACCCATTATGTTGGCTAAAAATGAAAAGATAACTATTTCAATTGTTGTCAGAAAGGGACAAAAACTGTCTAATTTAAAAACTATTTAGATTCATGTTCTTTTCAGTGTGAAGGGCTCTTCTGAGCTGATGTTGATATTACGGGAAGAAAGATGGCCCTATGCAGTGATTCTGCCTGAGGACCAATTTCCCAACAAGGGCTAATCTTCTGTCTAAGGAAATCATTGGTACAAGAAGACTCAGTCACTTATTCCATTGGTCTGATTCACACATGGACGATGAACATGAATTTTTAAGAAGCTGTGTATAATGTTTCAATGGAACTTCTCTCTATGGCCACCAAGGGGCAATGCCGCTTCGGAGAACACTGTTTGTCCCACATACAGATGTGGAATATTCTATAAGTAGCCAGAAGTTATTCTTTGAAAATCTAACAAATTACTATCTCCTACATTGCTTCAATTTACATCTATCAATCATGTAGTCTGAGGAGCGGGCGCGCTGACCAGTGTCTCCTGTTGGACTATGATGATGTTCTACTTTAGTAGGATTTGAGATGACATCAAATGCAGAAACACCACGTTCCCTCTCTGCTTCGGGGAAAAAACGTGCTCCCTATTTCTTTTAACTTCTATTATTTATAATGCAGATCAGTGCTATTTTTATGGCTGCTCTGGAATTATCCTCAATTTCTACCTCTATATTCTGTTGTGTTAAATCAAAAGCCAAACTGATTCCTCACAGTTTTGAATCGTGCCTCTGAGGATGAAGTGTGAAGAAAATGTTAAATGTTTGTTCAAATACGGAATAAGAACTACCAAACTGTTGTATCCTGAATGTATTCCTAAGATCTACCAAAAATGTTGTATTCTTGAATTTCTTCATGGCCCCATATCTTCCAAAGTCAGCAGAATTTTTGATCTTCTATCCATTTGGAAAGGAAAACTTTTTCAGAACAGATAATTCTAGTACTTCTTAATTTCTTTTCTCCATGTATAGTATTAGAAATATTTCTTTTGCTTGGTATATATATTTTAGAAAAAATATCAAGAAATTGAAAGTGATTTAATTATAT